GTGGATTTAGGTAGATTTTGCTAGTTTGTCCAACATATATTTCAGAATGTAATACATACAGCTCAGAATAGGATTTGAATTATTAGCAAACTACTAAGACAAAGCTAAGTCGATCTCTTACTAAGGCATCCACTATTCTGCAGATGATCCCTATATTTAATAATGAAAAAACCAATTACATCATCATTGTTAGTCCTCTGCAGGATTAGGGTCTAATCCAAAACTCTTATTTTTCATATAGCTGGTAAAAGATAAGTCAGAGAATCAGTGACACTTTTTTAGGCTTTCATTAAAAGAATTAAAAAAAAAAAATAGAGGGAACTTCTGAAAGAAAAGGGTATATAGTTCCAAGGGCAGAGTAAAATCAAAGTAGTTAGGAATAAAGTAATTCTCCTTGCACTGGAGTCTTTGGACATAAGCGACCTCCAAGACACAGAATGAAAATTTAAGGAGAGAGAATTAATGGTCAGAAGACAGGAAGAACACATATTTATGGCTCAGGGCAGGAACTTTCTAAGACTCAGGATTTTGCTGATGAGATGTAAAAAGCACAGGAGAATATCCACACCATTTATTTAAAGCAGTTGGCTAATGATTTGCTAAGGGGCAGTCTGAAATGTCATGTGGTGGCTCTCTTCTGTCCCTCCAAAGTTTTGGATATCAGAAAGCACACCACTTGCTGCTAGGGACGTGTCTTTGGGCTTGCCATGAGGAAATCATTATAAATGTCCATTTCTTTTCCCTCCTCAGGACAAAAAGATGTGATTGACTTCTCTAGCAACAGCACAAATTTGCTGTGATTTTTTGTGAGTAATGTCAAATTCAGACTGGGGTTCCTGCAGAAGCCATTTGGTAGTTGTACCTTCCATACATTTTGCCCTTACATACCCCCTTCCCACAGACAACCACCAGGAATTATAGAAGTGTTGCTGCTCCTCTTGGCACACAGGTAACTTTAGGTGTCCATGAGCTTGTGCTTGGCTGGGGCAGTTGTGGGAATAGCTGATGAACAAGAAAGAGCCCCACACTGTGGGCTCTAAAGGCAAGCTTGCCTTTTCTTTTTTCTTCTTCCTATTGTCACAATTTCCTTTGACCTAGAGAGGCAGAACACACATGGAATGCTCTTTGGAATATAAGGGGTGCAGAGCAACTATGGCTTGATTTTTCAGTGGCCTTTGGTGTTGACAGGTTCCAGTTAAGTGAAAAGCTGGCTGCTGGCCTCTGCTGGACACAGAATTAGTGCTTCCTGTCCCTTTGCCTCTAGTGTGCTGTGCAGCTGGGACTGTAGTGCAGGAGAAGAGAGTGAAACAGTAGAGAAAGTGAGGACATGAACAGGATTCCAGCACTTTGCTGTCACCCCTCCTTGACCCCCACCAAAAGCCAGCCACCAGCGCAGTACCTGAGCCATTGCTGCAGCACTGCAGGAAGCACAGACATCCTATGAAATACTCTGAAAAGCATCTACAATTATATTTATACCTCCTAGGGGTGCGATGGAAGTTTTAAAGTTTAAGGCTGAAAAGAATTCTTAACAGGTGTCAAATTTAGTGTCACTACACAGCTCCTCATGAACCAAAAGACACATCCTTTTCAAGCTCTCCTAGGAAATTTGGCAGTTCCTATTATTACAGCCCCTGTCATTACCTTGAAAGAAAAATATATAGAGAGGGAAAACTGACAGGAGGCTACTGGTGCTGCTAACTCTTAGTGGCAAAGGAAAGAAGACAGCAATATACCTGAGCACATAACCTGGCTGTCTAGCGCCATGGCCAGTTGTGTTTGTTAACATCTGCAACATGAGTGAAGTCATTGGGATGGCTATGACAGCTCCATGTTACAGTTTATTTTCTATATTATTTGTGTTATACCACATATCAGTTGTCAGATGGACCCAAAGCATCTGTTTTGAGAAAAAGCATTAGGCAGGGCCTGGTCACAGATGCTGTGAGGGACCCCAGCTGGCTGCTTTGCTGCCCCCGTGCAGCAAAAATCCAATTTCATACAGCAGTCAGGCCATTCACTGGTGCTTGTGTCTTTGTTTTGGCATAGAAAGGATATTTTTTTTTTGCCTGTGAAAAAGAAGGTCTCAAAGGCCCTTTTTTTTTTACACTGCTTCCTGTTGGTAAACTTCACCACAGCGTTACCTCGACTGCAGCTCACGGCTGCATAGCTTCAGGGAGAAGGGGTGACTGCTCACACCTCCCTGTCTCTTCTCCTGTTTTCTGGGAATCACCTGAATGCTTGTAAAAGGTGCTGAACAGTTTTAAATGCATGTCTGTGCTTCCTGCACAGAGAACAAAATCTCCTGTGAGCTTGCCAGACCTTTCACAGCTGCACCCTAGGGATTTAACACTGTGCAGCTTATGGCTTTATATAAAATTTCTTAAAAGAGAAGGCCTGTATTTTCACATAAATATATTTATTTTGGGAAAGATCAAGAAGTGCCAATATATTTTAAACCAGTTCCCTGCTGCATTAAAACTGTGAAATATTCATGTGAACATTTGCTAATCCTATACAATGTATCTATTCCTCTCTCTCTATTTAGCATGCAGGCTGCAGCTGCTGAAGGTTGTTAAGCCTTTTCATTAGGAAGAAATGTAAGGATGATGTATGAAAACCACATGGATGTAAACTTAAGGAACAGTACAGAAGGGTGTTAAGAACAAAACCTCGTAAGCTATCTTGTAAGCATGATTTCTCTTTCACATATTTGTTCTTATATGGTCTTTCACTGCTTTAAAATGTAAATTTATATTTATGGACATAATTAGAAATGCTATATAATATGCTCTCATAATACAGAGATAAGAATATAAGCACAGCAGCACACAAATTTTCAGAATATACATCTCAGGCTCTCTACATTCTGCAGGAGGTAGTATCACTCCAAGCAAATTCCCATTTCTGTGTTCAGCCATTATTCCTCCTAATGTAATGAGTTATTTTCTCACCAGTGCTAAGTTCTGCATATCCATCCAGATCCTCCTGTGGCCCAATATCTGACAAATAATCCCTTTTTTCATCTACCTGAACTCTGACAACTTGAGCAGTAAATCAAAAATGAGTGCCTATGATCCCTGATTCCACCAGGGGACAATATATGACCTTGGGATTTCATTTAAGTCTCCTGATGCAGTGGATTCCCTAAGCATTAAGTGGAAATAGCATCTGCTTTCCTGAGAGATGCTAATATTTAAGTATTGCTTCGAAGATCCTCAGATAAAAATACCTATATATGTGCAAATTTTTATGCTTCCTTCTGCTTTCCTATAGCTCCAAGATATAATAACACACAGAAAAGCCAAAATTTTCTTATGAAATAAAATTGTACTTGGAAATGTCAGACCTGCACAGACCAATGATCCAGAGTTGCTGAAGGCAGTGTATCAGAAGAAGCTGTAACCCAGCCTCCCCATGTGCTGAATACCATGACCAAGGAGAAATTATCTTACCAGAATCAGTCATAACCATTTTCCCCGCATGCCAATAGCTAACCCAGTGCATAACCCTGTCACAAGCAGTCTCTGAGGGCACTTTGGATGCATCCACCTTGGCTTGCAGAGCAGCAGTGGTGGGCAGGAAGAGTGTGGGTGTGAGCTGTGCCACGTCGCTTGGCGGTTTCACTGTGCTTAGTAATAAAGACACAGACTCCGAAATTCCCTCATGTTTTCCAACAGGCTTACAGGGATAAAGCTGTGGAGACCAAACACCTTGACAAGCACCTGAGAACTCTAACAGGTTGAAGAATTTCTTTGAAAGATTGCCGGAAAGAATCCTACTCCTTTGTTTTACATAGAGACCCCAAAGAGTAGAGTGCCGAGATTTTAAGCAGAGCCAGCCTGGACAGATGGAATATGAGAATATCACAGTATTTGGTAAATATTTTCCTCTAATACTCTTTGTAATAGACAAAGAATAGACATGTTTCATTAAAATTAAATTTTTTGTTGATCCTGTGAAATTTTTATAATGTTGATGTTACGTTAACACAAAATTCAGCAATGCCACCCCCAAAGTGGAACAGATTCAAAGACTCCAAGTCTTCCCTGTCCATGCAGTAGGTATGAGCAGAGAGTCATTCCTCTGGATCTGCACAGTGTTACTTACTGTTTCTCCCCCATCACAGTCTTTGAACAAAGCCAAAGGCAACAGTCCAAACGGAGCATATTTTGTATGTTTACCTGACAGCCACACAACAGAAATCCATTGCAGCAACTGTAAAATTTTGCTTCATACACATAACACTAACCAACAGAAACCTGGTTGAGAGACCAGATTCAGAATGGAAAAAAGGATCAGGAGACTAGCTCATGTCTTCTCCTAAGCACTAAACTGCAAATTACACTTTTTAGAAGTTTAGTAGTTTTTTTACATTTCACACACATCCTGATTTAGGAATCAATACTGGAGTGAAGCAGAAACACGTATGTAAAGCCACAATACATACAATTAATTTAGTATTTCCAATCCCAGTAGGAACACAGTACCAGTAACACCTCTAGAGATGGCACTTTTGTAGCCCAAGATATTGATTAGCACGAGGATGAGCACCTATGCTTTTGGGTACTAATGGGGTCCTTCCACCAGAATATCAAATGCTCTTGATCATGCCCTTTAGTTTTCCTATCAGTGTCCAAATTCCATTTTTTTTCTTTAAGAAACAGCTTCTGTAATAGGAAGGGTTGAGTTATGCTGACTCTATAACAAATGAAGCAACACTTTCCTCATTTTCCTGCTAATGAGGTTGAGTTTATCTCATTAATGTTTTTCAGAAGAAACAAGAACAATTCAAATAAGAACAACACAAAGTGTTTTTAATGCAGTTTTTTGAAAAGTGAATAACTCAATGTCTCAGAGAAAATGAATGTGTATGCAAGAAATGAAGTGGATTGCAAGTACAAGATGTTTTTCATTTGCTGAAAATTAAATTGGAAGAAGGGTCCAGAGCTGAGAGAAACCTTTCCTTAGTACCTGCTCCTCCTGCTCCAAAGGCTTACCTTTGTGAGAAGACGTCTCGGTAGGGGCTGCCATGCTGCAGGGCGATCCCGTATCCTCTGTCCGCCACAGTGTTCCCGACCGTGTAGAAGGAGCACTCCGCATCGTTGATGGCCACGTACTCCAGCACCGCCGCGTCCCACACAAAGGCGTAGTTCCCGTATTTCACCTGCAGCAGACAGAAGAAAAGCTCAGGCTACAGGCTGCCACGTCCGGAAGGAGCTCAGTGCACCTGGAAATGGGGCAGTTTCAACACAAATCTGCTCTTTAAGGGAAGTGAAGTTTGGGTGCCCAGCTGCTGCCAGATGCTGGTGCCATGCAGGGCTTGGGCTGAGCGCCTCGGCTGAAACTGAAGAAAGGTGACCTGGAAACAATGTGCCATCAGCGACACAGTGCCATGGAGGAAATATGGACTGTCCCTTTTCCAGGAGCAAAGGAAACACCACAGTCCTTCCACCAACACTAAATTCCACATGAAATCCCCCACTGTTTTTCCTTCAAGCTGTAAAAAAAAAACCATTTAGAGGGAGGGTGGGTATTCCCATTGGGAGAAGCATGGCAGAGTAGGCATGGCTATTCAGAGGGAAGACCACTGTTCAGGATGGTCCACATTTCAGTCATGCTCCAAGTTGTGACAGACTTCACAAACACTCATTTTGGGTGTTATGGTTCTATGGGTTCTATGGGTAAGACCATACCAAGCAGATTATTTGGGATTTATTTTCTCAGCATGAGGCATTTTCACATCTTCAAAGACTTTCACAGAACAAGATCATGTAGGCCATTTTAATTGACTAAAATAAATCCAACCAGCTCATTACACTGAAAAAGCTTTTAAAGTAACATTTCCCCGTCCATTCACATTTGAAATAATTCCAATTTTTAAAAAACAGTTTAAATATATGTAATATATATATAAAATTTAAACATTTATTCAGAGGAAGCCTTTAAAACCAGAAACTCAGTCTAAAGAAATAAATTAATTTCTGCTTTCCAGACATATCATGTTTTTTTTCCTGAAAAAACAGTAATCTCTAGGTGCTCTACCAGACCCAGATATTTTTCTGGTTTTCTGTTTCCTTGGTCTCTATGTCAGACCTGAAGAATCCCTCTGCTTTTTTCCTGCCCCTCTACTTGGCTTCATTTAGCTTTTTCCCCCTGCTGTATTAGTCAACTAAACTGTGAAGCTAGGCTGAATCCATTGACTTTGTACATCCAATGGGAATAAATACGTGACAGCTAAGTGAAAAGTAAACAAAACACAAAAAGGCCATGTGGGGCCAGGCAATCCAGAGAGAATTCAAAACCAAGTCAGCATATCAAAGTAAGCAATGTCAGTACATCATTTAGATTAGGCTTTGACAATGTAGATTATGTTTTTAAAGACTGTTTACATATAAAAGTTACTGAAGCAAGCCACACCGTCTGCTTGCTCACAAGATGTAGTGCACAAGGAATGATTGCATTTGGGACACATTCCTTTTTACTGCTGGCCTGGCAAGGGAATATTTTTTGTTTCCATCTGTAGGCATGGCAGGGGGAGAATTTGTGCACATTTTGGAGCAGAAAGAGAGCCATATTATGTGTAGACTCTGCAGGACTTGCAAGATAAAGAAGTGAACACACATACACACATGCAGGACTGGGCCAGTTTTAATCTTCAGGCTCTGGAAATTGTCAAGAATATTTTTTCTCACCTCCCAGTGGAGGTTTAGGTTTATCTAAACAGGCAGGGAGTATGGGATAGAAGTGAATTTGCAGTTACCAAACAATAAAATTTGTATGCTTGTCCTATAGGTACTGCCACTCACAGAGTTCTTCCTAGCATAGATTGTTCTGATCTTCTTACAGGCACCACTTGAGTAAGAAATAGCATGACTGAGAAAAAAGCCCTTCCTGGGAGAATTTAACAGGATAATGACTCAGTCTGAAAAAGGATCATGATGTGCAGAGAACAAGGGAGGGAAATAGGAGACAAAAGCAGAGGACCAGGAGTGGGCAAATGAATCCTGAAAAGGATCAGATGGACTTTCTGAACAAAAGAATTAAGGAAAAGTGGGGTTCAAAACCCAAGTAATTTTACATGTGAGACATAACCTTTGTGGTGATGGGAAGAGCAGAGGGTTATGTTTTGACGTCCGCTTTTATCCCAACCTGCCTTTTTATCATCCTCGTGCATTGAATTCACCTAAGTGCTTGTAAGGAGACCTATCAGCTGCTCGGCTGGTCATGAAAAATTCTATTGATTTAGCTGCCTTGCTATAAAACAACTCACAAAGAGAATATATAAAAGTGGTAAAAGCACTTACTGTCAATAATATCTGTGATGAAGTGGTATATATAAGATCCTCAGGACAGAGCTCATAATATCATAGTTTAGGTTCCCACAAAGATATTACTTTTCATAGATAACATCACAGAGAGCCTCAGTTAAAGTGCATGGGGCACAAAAGAGATTGAAGAGCCAGAAGGGATCATTCCCATCACCTACGTTCAAAACATGATTGCTCCATGCATTAAAAAACATCCTTTTTAGCATTTTTGCCCTATTCACTTACAAATCTGAGGAATTCAAAATCATGGAGCAAACCTAAGTTGTAATTGTCATGCTTGCAATCCCTCTCTTTAGAGAACTACTACTTGGTCTAACATTTTTCATTGCTATTCTGTGTATTTATTTTTACTACCTGATTTTTTTTATATACATAAAACTTTCTTATGTCATCCTTAGGTATTTTTGCTCTGCAGTTCTAAATACTCACTCAGACTTTGGGGCTGATATCTTTCAATTATTGATGGATCATTCTGTTACTTAGCTGAGCTGGACATAGCTTTCTTTAATCTCTCCTTGCAAATCTGTCAGCTCAACCCTCCCAGTAGCAGTGACACTACTTCTGAACTCTCTCCAACTCTTAATTTTTATGCATGGGAGAAACACCTGTTTCACTAAGAGAGAATAAGTTATCTGCAAGCTCTGGAGCTATAGGATTTTCTTTTTAGCATACTCTTCTTCTGAGAATCTGTCTAAACTCCTTGCCCAGGGATCTTTCACACAGCGCAAGACTGGTTTTAGCTTGAAGAACTAAGAATAAAATTTTGCTAGAGTATAGCATACCTGGAAAACTGCTGAGAGTTCACAGATTTGCACCTACACTATGGAAAGAGGAGAGATGATGCTCCCTGTAAAAGGACAAGGGAATTTCAGAGCAAAATGTAAATCAAAAACTTTTATCCTTCTCTCTTTCCCTCTTACCATGGGAAGCACATATTTTGCAGGTCTTCAATAGCAATGTGGAAGACTTCTACTTTGGACCCCAAAAGCAACAGCAAAAATTCCAGCTCTGTACTATCAGAAAAATTTAAGGGACTTACATTCAGCCACTTATGAAAGCTAAATGAAAGCAGAATCTCCTTGGGGGTAAGAAAAAAAAAAAAAAAGGATCCTTGTGACACATGTAACTCACTACTCACAGAAAACTGCATCGCTGATTCTACATTTCCTCATCATTATATTGGCCTTTTGTGTAGAGAGAGCAACATTTCAGGATGGTGGTAGATCTGGATGCTGCTCACACATGGCCATGCAGCCCTGGATGGGCAGTGAGGAGTTTGTAGGAGGGCAGCACATTATCATTCTGCAGCAACCCCAGCTCTTCAGTCCACCGGGGCATGGAGAGCTGACACTTCACTCTCCTTCCCTGTGGCTTCCTGGCTGTCACTATGGCAGAAGCTAAAAAGACTTTGAGGATCTGATATCTATTGTCATAGGAAAAAAAAAAAAACAACAAACCAACAAAAAAACCAAAACAACAACAAAACCAGGCAAAACTGAAACTGTTAGTTGTTCATCAGGGTATCTTGAGCTCATGCACTGCAGTGGTCATTAAGTGAAATTGGGAGGTGTGGTACCACACAGAAATGCTTGACTTGACTTCATGGTCCTGTGAACAATTCAGAAGGAGTTACTGTAAAAAGGGTTGTTACACAGAGCAGGAGTCATCAGCACACAGATGTTAAAACTATTTCTATAGGGTTGTTCTATTTCTATTTTCTATCACTGAACACTTACAAAATTTTTCTTTCCTGAAGCCCTGTCTGCAGATATTAGCTAAAATTTATCCCAGATGATCCCACAAAAAATGCATTAAGTTATGAGATGAGAACATTTAAAGCCATTATACTGTTGCATATGCACATATTTTATGCCAAGAGAGATATGGATAGCATTTCTTGTTACAGCTCACCCGCTCATGCACAGTAAGTTGAATAATGTATTTGTGTACAACTCTGGCATCCTAAAAGCACATTTCTAGATCTAGCAAATGTTAAATTAAAAAAAAAAAAAAAATTGTAAGTAAACAAAAACCAATTGCTGCAATTTTTCATACTTGTATTCTTGGATATCTTTTCTGTATTTTGAATTCCTCTATGAAAGAAATACAAAGAATCCTCATGAATGAAAAAAAAAAAATCCACAATAGATTGCAGGTTAAAAAAAACTGGCTGTTTTTTTTTTTTTTTTCTGAAGACCTCTTTTAAAAATTTAATTGTACATAAAATATGTTAACTGTTATAACAACAATGGAACTCATAAGGCCACAGAATCTTAAATTTAATCTGATTAAAATGATATTAATTTTCTAGAAGAAAATCTGAAGATTATTAGCCAATGCTCATGAAGCCTATTTTCTGAATACTTTGTGCCTATACTCCTGAGACACAGTGGTGGTGCTTTTTCTACCCCTTTCCATTATCAGTCAGGTGCCAACTGCTGAATACCTTTCCCTGCCTATGAAGTTGTCAGCTGCAGTATTTGTTGTATTTTAGCCAAAACCAGAAGCAGACTCCTCTGCAGCATAGCAGCAGCAGCACTTCCAGCTCTAACCTAAAGCCAGTCAAGGACCTGCTCCCTACAGGACTTTGAGGGTCCTGTTCTCCAGAACGGACCATTCCAGTGGAGTGACTACAGAGAGGAAAAAACACCACCCAGTGCTGCTAGCTAGACCTATGCCCATCAGTGTGGAGCTGAGACTTTGGCATATTTAAATACAAAAATCAAATTTTTGATACATTCTTGCCACATTCAGCAAGTGTGCAGCAGCTACAGCCTGCAGAGGGCTGTGCTCCTCTCTACAAAACAACCTTGCCAAGGCTGCTATTACACAAGGG